CTCTGTGACTGGTGTGAGGTATAAAGGATGAGTTCTTGGAGCCTTATGTTCGCTTTTCCGAGATGCAGTGTGCCCCGAGTTCATCGTACAGGACGATAACGCGAGGCCACATAGAGCACTTTTGATCAACGAATTTCTCGAGAGTGAGGATTTTTGCCGGATGGATTGGTCAGTCAGGTCTCCAGACCTCAACCCTATAGAGCATATCTGGGATGCTCTGGGGAGGGCAATTGCAACTCGCAACCCCCTCCTAGAACCACCCAGGAACTGAAAACAGCATTGCTGAATGAGTGGGGCCAATTGCCGCAGGAACTGATAAACTGCCTTATTTCTACTATGACATCACGCTGCGAGGTCTGTATGGCTGTAAGAGGGGACCATACCCCCCTATTAACCCGTTTCTTATGTGTCTTCTGTAACCGCTGTTTCAGACCTTTCGACTCCCATGAGTGTTACACACGAACATGTGTGTCTATTATAACTGTTGAATGTTTATTTTGTTTGTATTATATCAGCCTATGGTCACACCAAATTTTATTAGAAAATCTGTCCAGTAGTTCTGGAGATCGTAGATCAAATATGAAAATTCTCTTAATTTCTTACACTTGTGTATATTAATATCCTATTTCTACATCCTTTTTAAATGTCACATATATTTGGCAATGCATTTGTTTTGTACATATAAAGTACATTTTATATAAATTTAGATTAAAAATCAGTTTGTGCTTATTTCATTTGCACACCACGTTACTTTCAATAAGCACAAGATGGCAAAGCTTTCCTCCATCTTCAAATTTGTCACTGAGCAAATCTGATTCTTTGAAGTGATATGGCTTTCAATATTGTATATTTAAAAGTGCCCAGTTAGCATTTTTGTTTACTTTAGTTTGTTGACTTAATGGAAGTAGATACCTTTTGGATATTTTACTGCTTAATTCTTTGTTTGAAAGCTTGGAATTTTCTTCTTGCTCTACAACTCGCAACTCTTCACATAATTTTGAATTGCATCCTTTGTCAGAAAATTTCCAGGAAAATTTTGTTTATTTCATAGTTTGCAGTACTAAAAAGGAACAAATGTTATTTTTATGTTACCTGGTATGTATTCTTACTTGGCATAATCTTGACGATGTTTCTGCACAAGCTTACTAGGCTTTTCTGCGCAAACTTACTTAGGTGGCAAGGCTGTGCTTACCAACACACTGTTTGGATTGTTGTTGCATTCGTTAAAGTGACACAATGAATGCAGATTGTGAGCAAAGGGTGAACACTAAGTTCTGCGTTAAACTCGCTATTGCCCGTAGTGAAGCATGAAACATAATTAATTAAGCATACACAGGCAAGGCACTTTCAAGAAGTCGTGTTTCTGAGTGGCACAAAAGGTTTCATGAAAGCAGAGATTCAGTGCAATATGATCCCAGAGCTGATACTGATGCAAAGGTGGAGTGTGTAAGGCAGTTATTGCAAGAAGACCATTGTGTAACTGTGTGTATGATATCACAAGAACTGAATTTCAATTGTGATGTGTGTCATAAGATTTTATGCGACGATTTAGGGAAACAGAAACTTAATGCAAGAATAATCCCTCACTCACTAAGAAATGAACAGAAAAGGAAAGATGAAAGTTTCTCCTGAACTATTGGATAGGTAAAGGTAAAGGTAAAAGTATGGGGGACACCAGCGATGTACCATAGGTCAACTGGTAATGCCTTCCCATACTAACTCTTTGAGAAAAAAAAAAGGGGGGGGGCAATTGCAAGTTTTATAAGAATTTGCATAGACTGAAGCTTTTTAAAAGGTCTAAAGTTTGCCTATTATGGTACGTCGTGCAATTCCACAGTATGCCCCGCATCCAGTATTTATTAAAAATAATGGTGTAGGGCATAAGTAGATTACAAAATAGTAGGAATACAATTTGAGATTCACAAGATAAATTGAACATCTGATTTGGTGCAACAAAAATAGGAGATAAACATAATTAATAAACAAATAAACATAATGAGATAATTATAATTAGTACTGGCAACACGATGTTGAATGAATTGTTATAATAATGCTAAAGAGGTACAGTGGATGGACAAAAATACGGAAACACCTTGTGAAATGCATGTTTGAAAAGAAAGATTGATTTTAATGAAATATGTAGGTGGCGCTGGCGTTTTTGACTACTGACGCCACCTATACAACTTCGTAAATGTGCTAAACAGTTCAGTTGTTGTCGGAGTACTGTTATGTGAGGTTGTCATTGCATTATGTCAGAGTTAACAGACTTCGAACGTGGGCACAAATTGTTGGAGCACGTATGGTAGGTGCTTCCGTAAGCAAGGTAGCCGAGAGGTGTTTAGTGTTTCAAGAGGTACTGTATCGAAGATTTATTCCGCATATTTGAAAAGCGGAAAAACATCATCTGCTAAATCACAGCGCGGACGAAAGTGTGTCCTGAGTGATCGTGACAGACGATCATTAAGGGCAATTGTGATGAAGACCACAGCTGCAAAAGTTACTGCTGAAATGAACGTTGTGTTACCAAACCCTGTGAGTACCAAAACAATTAGAAGGGAGCTTCATAAACAGGGAATTGCTGGCCGTGCTGCAATTGAGAAAGCCACTCATCAGTGATGCTAATGCCCGTAACAGGAAAAGGTGGTGTTTAAGTCATAAAGCCTGGGACTATAGAGCAGGGGAGCGAGTTAGAGTAATATGGTCTGACGAGTTCTTCTTTCACATTGTTTCCCACTTCTGGCTGAGTTTACGTCTGGAGAACGCCATCTCAAGCCTATAATACAGACTGCTTGTTGCCAAGAGTGAAACATGGCAGGGGTTCTGTTATGGTTTGGGCAGCCATATTGTGGTTCTCTGCTAGCCCCATGATAACTGTGTCAGGGCACATGACTGCCAAGACTTATGTGAACATTTTGGCCGATCAAGTTCATCCCATGGTACAAACTTTGTTCCCCGATGGTGATGGTGTCTTCCAAGATGACAAAGCCCCTGTTCACACAGCTCACATTGTCCAGGACTGGTTTTCTGAGCACGAGGATAAGTTGTCCCATCTACCCTGGCCACCTCAGTCACCAGACCTGAATATTATCGAACCTTTGTGGTCTACATTGGAACGGAAAGTGCGTTCTCGTTATCCACCGCCAACATCGTTATCTGAACTTGCCACCGTTTTGCAGGAAGAATGGTATAATAATCCCTTGGAAAACATACAGGAACTGTATTTATCCATTCCGAGAAGACTGCAAGCTGTTTTGAATGCCAACGGGTTTCCTACACCATATTAAGCAAAGAAACAAGTTTTTTTTAAAGGTGTTTCCATATTTTTGTCCAACCCCTGTAGGTGTCCATGGGTTATTTCAGATCTATTGGTTTATTGCAGTTTATAAAGTTCAGTTCACGAGCGGATCCATTTTGTCCATAATTACAGCATGTAAAAGTTCACTAAGTTTAAACTGTATGTGGACTTACACTTGACAGAGATCTAGGCCGTAGGAAGAGTCGTTGCATAATTTTCTGAAACTTTGGATATTGATGTTTATCTTTAATTAAAAATCTTTGGAATGCCAGGAGGTCAGTTCTCGGGAATTTTATGTGAATATCCTCAGTTAAGGGGCATGAGAAAACGTAGTGATCAGGAGTTCCCTGTTCCCCACATATGCAGACGTCAGAATTTGCCAAATTTCTTGCGTAGAAATATGTGGGGAAGGGTCCATGTCCTGTTATAAAGTAATTTAGGGAAGGATTCGAGTTCAGAGATGCTAAACTTACATTGGGCATCAAATTATATGTGCATCTTCCCTGTGGAGCATTGTTCCACAAATTTTGCCAAGATTTTGAAGCAAGTTGTTTTAGTTGGTACTTGAAATTCGAGCGAGGCCACGGAATGATGATTTCAGTACCATCTTGATTAATAGCTGCTTCTTTGGCTAGTTCATCTGCCTGATCATTACCAAAATGGCCACTATGTCCTTTGATCCGTGAAATTTGAATTTTGTAGTTTGGGATTTTTCCAAGAAGAGAATTTATGTCGGATATCAATGGAGAGGAAGGTAAGAGATTTTTAATAGCTAGAATAGCTGCTTGGGAGTCAGATTTTATGCTAAATTCGTTGAGATTTTTGAGAATGGCTATTTCAATCGCTGCTTTTATAGCTGACGATTCCGCTTGGAAAACACTATTATTATTATGGAGATGGCTTTTCCATTTGATGATATTTGAGGGGGTAATTTGAAAAAAGACTGCGGAACCAACTTTTCCTTCAATTTTTGATCCATCAGTATAAGCAATTGGAGATGAACTTGAATTTTCTTCAGATGTGGGGAATATTATTTTGCTGAAGCGAAGTGCTAGATGGATAAGATTGGGGTTAATTTTCTTCTCATAGTTGGATGGCCAAAAGGTTTGGTTGTTGAATTCTGCGGCTTGGTTAAGTTGGAGAACTTTCGTATAGGTGCATTCCATTTCTGCACTGATTGATAACGGAAGAGTACCAGCTAGAGTATCAAGTGCTATATTGGAAGTTGTGCGATACGCCTGAGTAATGCAAAGAGTAAAAGGCCTTTGAATTGAATTTAAACATTTCATTTTTCTTACTGTCATTGGTTGTGCCCAAATTCCGGCTCCATAATTTACCATTTTTGAGATGACTGTTTTTAGAAGAATATGTGTTATATGAGGATTTAAGCCCCAGTTATATCCATGCATACGTCCATGCATGCAGTTAGCTATTGATGTTGTACGAAGTTTAATGTTTTGTAGATGAGGAATCCAGGAGAATTTCTTGTCGATTGTTAAACCGAGGTACTTGATTGTGTTCACAGATTTGAATCTTTTGATTGTCAATTTTTAGAGCTAAAGCTTTAGTTATATTTGTCCTGGTTTATGGATCACTAAGACTTGGGACTTTACTATGTGAAATTTGTAGTTTTTGAATTTTACAAAGTTGGTTAAATAACTGGAGCGTTTCGTTGCAATTATTCTGTAAAATGTCTCTGGTACAGCCACTTGTAATAAAAGCTACATCATCTGCAAAAGCTACAATTTTTGAGTTGATCTGGCCATGGATAGGCAATGATGTTGTTGAAGCTGATATTCCAGAGATCTGCACTCATGCAAGACCCCTGAGGACATCCTCGGACTTGATTACACACAATTTCAGTGTTGTTGTAAAGAATCATACTTTTTCTGTTTCTGAAGTAATCTTGAATAATTAGAAATAAATTTTGAGGGCACTTAAAGGAACACAGCGCTTGTAAAACTGCTTGTAAAACTGCTTATTTCAGAATGAAGTTGGTTGATTTTATTGTTTCTGACTTGTTCAAGAGCTGCATTAATTGCATGACTTGTTGAAAGTAGGCTTCGAAATCCAAACTGGTTATTGCTTATTAAGTTTTTGTTGTAAACATGAAATTTTAGATGACCAATAAGACATCTTTCCAAAACTTTTCCTAGGGCTGGGAGAAGTTTTATCGGATGATAAGATTTAGGTTCATCGGAGCTTTTATTCTTCTTATTGAAGAGTATTATATTACCAATTTTCAGGCAATCAGGAAAGGTAGAGAGTTCTATACATCGATTGCAAAAACTACAGATTATGTCAGGATGGGCTTGATTGATTAATTTTATAATGTGGTTATCGATGCCATCTGGGCCTTGTGCCTTTTTTTAAAGTTAGGTTTTTAATTATTTGCTTTATTCTTGTTTTGAGAACGGAATATCATTGTCTGTTGTGGAATGTCATCGCAGTTAACGGATTCTGGTTTGAGTAGGCGGAATCTTCAGCTGGATCATCTTTTAGAAAGACAGAGTCAAGAATCTCATTTAGGGTTGAGAGAGTGGCATCCTGAATTTCAGCAGAACTTGAAAGCAAATTTGAGGGAAGTTGGATTTGTGATGGTTTAAATATTTTACTTACTGGCGATCTTGTATAAGGTGCCATAAATTTCTTTATTGTTTGAACAATATTTGTGCCAGGTCTTTAATTTAGATTCGAGAATCATCTTTTTGTAATTTGCATTTTCTTTTTTGAATTTGAGCCAGGCTTGGTGTCTTAATTCATCGTCAGTAATCGATTTCATTTTCCATTTCATTGCTCTCGCCTTATGCTTTTGAGCGCGTAACTCTTTAGTCCACCAATTTATATGAAAGTAAGGTTTTGCAGATCGAACTATTGGATAGAACCAGATGTGATCCCACATTTGTGTAAAAGATTATTGTCATTTTTTCTTGTTTCCGTAAGTGAAAAAGGTGACTGAAAGGAAAGCTTCATCAAGATTATTGCAAACATCCACAGGCTGTGACAAATGAGCTTACAAGCATCACAGTTGAAGATTTCCCTGCTTGCTTCTAAGACTTCCAGAAACGTTGGGGGTTGTGTATAGACAGCTAAGGGCATGTTGTGTATAGACTCTGATAGCAGTCAGGATCGTTACTTGATAAATGCAATTTTCTATTTTTTACAATTTTTGTCCTGTGAACTTTTCTACAAAGGATGTATATTTTGAGAGTGAGAAATCGTTTATGTAAATTGCCTTTTGTGTTATTCTCATACTGAATTTCATTCTTTTAAAAAAACTTTCCTAATTGGTGTAAAAATCAAAATATTATGAAATAAAATGAGGTAATAATCAAAGAAAATTGGCAAACATTTAGTCCATCTTGTACTTTATAAACTTAATAGTTCTTAAGTTTTAAAACAAATTCACTCAGTAAATTCACTCAGTATATACATATTTTTATATGGTCTGGATCACAAATTTTATATGTGAAGTTATTAGATCTTGGATATGAAAACTTGCTTAATAAAGGAATTTTTCAACTATGCTGTTTTTTACAACCTTTGTCCTGGAACTTTTCTAACAAAGGATGTAAATCCTGAGAGTGAGAAATCATTTCTGTAAATTGCCTTTTGTATCATTCTCATACTGAATTACTCGCATTTCATTCTTTTAAAAGGCTTTCCTAATTGGTGTAAAATTCAAAATGTTATGAAATAAAATGAGGTAATAATAGAAAACAAAATTGGCAAACATTTAGTCCATCTTGTACTTTATAAACGTTATATGAGGGCTATCCAGAAAGTAGATTACGTTTTGGAATAAAAAAATAAACAAAGTATAGGAAACAAATTTATTATATACATCATGAAAGCCATGGCTCAAAATACTACTTTTCTACATAGTCACCAATACAAATTAAGGCACTTATCGTAGCGATGTATGAGCTTGGAAATTCCTTCGTCGAAAAATTCGGCCGCCTGCGCCTTCAACCACTTCGTTACCTCTTCTTGCAGCTGTGCGTCGTCACCAAAACGCTTGCATAGCCAGCCACTTCTTCATTGCTGGGAATAGGTGGAAGTCGTCTCGGTGCCAGGTCGGACTGTACGGCGGATGAGGAAACAACTCCCACTTAAAGATTCAAGAACTTACGAGTGACATTTGCCGTGTGGGGGGCCGGGCGTTGTCGTGAATCAACAAGATCTTAGAGCTCAACATTCCTCTGCACTGTTTTGAATTGCTCTTCTGAGTTTTGGAGAGTTTGGCAATACTTTGAGAGTTTTTATTGTAGTGCCTCTTTCCAGGAAGTCCACCAAAATTACACCTTTTCTGTCCCAAAAAACAGTCGCCATCATCTTCCTTGCCGACATTGTTTGCATGCATTTCTTGGGTTTTTGGGGAGAACTTGTGTGCCCCCACTGCATTGATTGCAATTTCGTTCACAGTTCACATGTTTCAGCCATGTTCGTCACCAGTAACGATGCGATCGAGTAAAGAGTCACCATCCTTATGGTAAGCGTCCAAAAGTTCAACGCTGCAGCCATTCGCTGATTTTTGTGGGTCCTCTTGTCAAGATTTTTGGAATCCATCTTGCACAAAACTTGTGGTAACCAAGCTTTTCGCTGATGATTTTCGTGCAACAAACTTCGCGAAATTTGTGGAAAACTAAAAGAAAGTTCCGTTATTGTGAAATTTCGATTTTCACGGACTTTAGCAGAGCATCGACTTTTTCGAGAAGTTCGGCGGTCACTATGCTGGGTCTCCCACTTCGATCTTCGTCGTGAACATTGGTTCGGCCATTTTGAAATCTTATGACCCACTGACGCACTCCACCTTCAGTGATAATGTTTGTCCCCATACACTTCACGAAGCTGCCGATAGATTTCTATCGGTTTACAGTTTTTTGCAGTCAGAAACCTTATTACTGAGCGCACCTCGCAGCTCACGGGATTTTCAATTAACGCAGACATTTCAAACCATCACAGTATCTGAACGGAGCACAGCACGAACCTCTCACTAGCACGGCTAGATGCAGACTGAGCTGCGCAACGCTCTGACCCCAAGATGGCCGCGCTAGCCCGGCCCCTAGCGGACACAGACGGAAACGTAATCTACTTCCTGGATGGCCCTCGTAGTTCTTAAGTTTAAAAAAAAAATTCACTCAGTATATATATATTTTTATATGGTCTGGATCATAAATTTTATATGTAAAGTTATTGGATCTTGAATATGAAAGCTTGCGTGGTAAAGGAATTTTTTAAAATGTGTAAATATTGAATTAGATGAAAAAATTGTGAGCCTCTTTATATATATAAGCGGCTTAAGTGTGTGTCGCCAATAGTTTATTGTGGCCACTTGGAAAAATGAGTGCGGAAATGAAGGTTTCTGCAGTTTCTAATTAATATCTCGGCCAATTAAAGTCGTATGAAGATGAGAACGGTATCGATAGATTCGGAGAATTTTTTGGAATCCGAGGATACACGTCTCGAATTTCAACTCAACTCGGCGTCGTTCCGTAGAAATTCGAGAAAAAAGAATTTGGCATGTAGCCAAATCCCTCTAATAGGGAAAACCCAAGAAAGAAAGTGAAATGTAGGGAAAACATATAATAAAATTAGTTTTTAATTATTATCTCGGCTAATTAAAGTCCCATAAAGACGCGAATAGTCAAAATGATGTGCCACGGACCTGTAGAATACAAACGGTGTGCTTCGCTAAGCCTGGGAGCCAGCCGGAGGAGATGATGTTACTTCATCTCACACACATATATATATGCGGCTTAAGTGTCTGTTTGTCGGCGATAGTTTATTGGTTACTTGCGTAACTGTACTACCCAATGGGGTGAAGTTGCAACGGCACAGGGTTGCTGTTTCAATTGAGACGTAGACAATTTCCTGTAAAACTTGCCTTTGCTGACCATCCATAAGTCTCAGGGCCAAACACTTATGCGTTTTGGCATTTTTTTACCTGAACCTGCATTTGGACATGGTCAACTTTATGTTGCCTGTTCAAGATTTCATGAAAGAATGGACGTAAAATTAAAATAATTGATGGTCCTTTGCAAGGCAATCTTAAAAATGAGATCTACACAAGAAATGTTACGTACAAAGAGATCTTTGACATGTGAATTAACATTTTATTATTTAAGTCACTTTATTTATTGAGTTAGTGGTGGTTCTTAAGAAATGTACTGCCAGTGGTTTCCTTCATTGCACTCTACTTTAAGCAATTAATCAAGTAGAACTGGGAAGCCCCGTGGGGCAGTAAGCAAATTGGCATCCTCGCCAATAATAACATTAAACTTTCCAACAGTTTCCATTTGATTGCCAGACAGAGTCTGGAGGGTAATGCAGGACGGAATCCAGATGAGTTTATTCTTCAATTGTTGAGCTAAATATTTCTGGACGATGGTAACATTGGCTCCAGTATCAATGATTATGTTGTAAAGAACTCCATTGATATGTCTCATAATGCAAAGTTCATTACTGCCGCCACTGACTGCAGAATTCTGAAGTGCTTTAGAATGGGGCTTCTCATTAGCTGGCAACCTTCGCTCCGTGAAATGGCCATTAAGTTGTTTCCTGCGTCTTTGCTGGGGAGTGGTCTTATTTTCTGTGCCTCAGTATGTTCTGCAATTCTTTCGTATGCAATCTACACCACTGCAGTTTCAGCACTTTAGGGTCGGTTTTTTGCCACTCCTGTTCCATCTCAAGGCATTGATTTGTCTGGTTAAATTGTCTGTCTAATTTTCCATGTCCAGGAATGTTCTGCAGTTTCTTTGTACATGGCCTTCGTCTGTCTAATTTTCCATGTCCTGGAATGTTCTGCAGTTTCTTTGTACATGGCCTTCAACACCACAGTTCCAACATCTCAGAGTCAATTTTTTTGCTCAAGGAACAGGACTGGCAACAAATGGACTGTAAGGTTGCATTGACTTACTTGTTTAAACCGTCTAGACGAGCAGTCAGCTGATCCACTGGCTCCTGGACTTTAGCAGCTCTAAGTAAGTATCTGTCTCTGCGAGTTGCTTGCTAAACTGCTATGAATTTCATGGTGCACACTAGAGCGCACATTTAAACCATTGACATGCACCATTTGCAGAGCTTTCTGTATTTCAGTATCCTGTATGCCATCGATGAAGTACTGCAGGGACAATATTTCTGTTGTTTCTGATGGACAATTTGAAAAGATGAGATGAGACAGCCTCTCAACATGTGTGGCAAGCTCTTGGAGTATTTCCATGGGCTTCGATTGGCAAGATTTTATCTGAAGCCTGGTATAATCTTTTAAACACTTCTCTAAAGTGCAGCTCCAGTTTTGCAGATAGAGCTTCAAAGTCTAACCTCTGGTTTTGGGGCAGAGTTTGAAGGATATCCACGGTGTCTGCTCTCAGAGAAGTGACGAGATGGTAGGTCTTAGCTTGGGATTCTCATTTATTCACGTCCACAACTATAGAAAATTTTGTCTTTAATGCTTCAAAGTTGCTCTTAACTAATAGCTCACAACAATAACAACTGAAGGCAGATGCTGTCTCCAGCCTTATATAGTTTTCACATGGCCGCTGATATATTTCTTGTACTTTCTGCTTCTCAAAATTACTGGAAGGGCCTAATACAGTTACACATGAAATTAATTATAGTTATTCAATCACAATACTTATTACAGTGATACAGGGATCAGACCAAAATGTCCCCAAGTGATCACCAAGTTTGATCATGTTCAACTTTTGGCAAGATAGCCATTTACTCAATGTTAAATAGATTTGCCCCTGTGTTCGTATTTTTCAGGCAGAGCTTTCTCCCTCTATATTATGTTACATTATACAGAAAAATACTATAATTTTACTAAAATTATCTGTATATGTACAAAATTCGTAACAATATAAACTCACAACAAAGATGAGATTATTTTTTTAATGATATATTCATGATTACATTTGTTACATTTGTTTTTAATGAATTACATTTACATTAATGAATTAGAAATTACATTTGTTTTTAATGAATAATTTTGGACTTGTTGATGTAAACTCACTATCAGTTTATGAATAAACTTAAATGAGGCATTTGATAACTGTCAAATTTATAAATAAATAAAAACAAACTGCCAAATTAAAATTTGGACAATTAATATTTCATATTTAATTAATAATTATTTTTAGTAAGTTTCAAGTATGAAGCACATATCACACACACATATGTGTAAGTATCAAAATATAAAGAAAAATTTATTACCAAATTAAACTTAATTAGAATGGTCCTTTAAATTCTTAAAAAATACAGACATATATATGTAACATATCAAAATATGAAGAAAAATTTATTCCTTTCAGTAACCACAGTGTGAAGTATTTTGCCCAGTCAATGCTGAGGATTAAGACTTTCCGAACTTAACAAATATTGCTGCAGTCAATATGCATCACTCTTTTGCTGCTTGCTCTACCAAGAAAAATCAGGTCTCTTCACTAAGCTTCTTTTTATGTTATCTAAAATATAAACTGCACATATAGAAATTGTGGGGTGTATTAAGCAGTTCTAGTGTTGTACCAGTTCGAGCAAAAATGTGTTTCTGAATAATGGTTCCTGTTCAAAATAAAAGTGATGTTATATCAGGCCAGTTGTGATTTTCGTTCTAGTCAGTACACAGCAATTTTTCTCAGCCATGGCTAAAAACTGAATTGGTTTTATCTTCTGCAAAAGCTACATCACGCGCACACACACATATATAGTTTTAATATATACTTTCAAGATTATATTTTTATCAGTTTTTTTGAACCATGCTTTTGTAATTAATAAAAAACAATAATTTTGTAACAGGCAGATTAAATGTTTTAAAAAGCATTTTCTAATCCAATTAAATGTTTAAAAATTTAAAAAGCAGTCTTTAATGCAGTAATGGGTAGATGATGCTGTTATTTACTGTAACTTATAATTTGACAAACAGCTTTTTTCCTTAGGAGGAGATGAAATAATATACCGGATGCCCTGTGATATTTTACTAACTTCTGAAGAACCTCTGAAACCATTTGCATCTGCTGAACAAGTAGCTGCAACAGAAAAGGAAGTAGTTCCAAATATCTATCCTATCAAACCTACTTTAGATCTTGACAAATATACAGAAAGTCCATTCACACTGCAACCTAGTAAGTTTTGTGGGTGAGATGATAAAATCTGAACTGTTTTGTAATTACTCTTCCTTGTTCATCTTACACATTTCAATTAATTCATTTTTATTTTTATTATTTTGTATTTTCATTTTATGTATGTTGCCATATTTTTCAATTAAATCATTCTTTTCATTGATAATAATTTGTTGAAAATGAATATATGTAAATGGAAATTGGAAAGAAAAAAAAAAATATCAGTGAGTGAGCTTATTTTAATAACAGTAGCATTTGTAGGGATTTATAATGCAGTACAATGTTATTGTTAATGATAATTTTTTTAAAAAATCTGCATTGATATATATGATTAAAAATTTATAATTTATGTGTTAGTTGTGAACAAAATTAATTTCTAAATGTTTAGGTAATCATAACTTCCTTATCTTTTTTGGAGGCTGCAGTTTTTAAACACTTTTGGTATATAGAACTGTATAGGAAGAGTGTTTTCCGGATTCCAATCTCCTTACCTATGAATTTGATTTTCCTCTGTGTAAAACATCACTATTAAAATTTTCAATTGATTTTTGTCTTTATGTTAGAGTTTAGAAATTTTCCTTAAATATTCTAGATGTTCTGCAAAATGTTGAGAAAAAAATGAGTGGTTAAAGTAATTTAAAATAAATTGATTTAATGTTTTTATAGAATTTTCCTAAGCACAATTAGGAAACAGAATTGCCATTGTTACTTTTGTATTTTTATAAGATTTGAGAGTCCCTCTCTCCCAGTTTGAAAAATTCTGTATCTTAGCAAAATAGAAAATATTTCCACTCCAAGAAAACATTCATTTCATACCTTTTACAGATTTTAGCATTGTGTAGCGTTATTCAAAATAATAAAACAGAAGTATTTAATTTTTGAAAGCTTTTAAAGTTATTGATAACTTTTGTATTCAACATGAGTATTTTGCCTTCCTTTTTGTTAACATTATATTCACAGGTACCAGTGAAATTTTTTTTTTCCGGTTTTGAAAGTGAATAATTAAAAAAAATAATAAGTGTGCTACAAGTTCCATAATGAAGTACTTTTCTCCTAAAATATAATATTTACTTTTTAATTAGTTTTATTTTGAACAGTATTGGTGCACAAGCAGATGCTGAGCAGAATATTAAAAATTAAGTTTCTTAATTTTACGGGTAATATATAAATGATTCAAAATATTTTGCTTTCACAGCTGTTAGTTTGGGAAATGAAAATGTCCATACACTGTTCATTGCTCAAAAGTCAATTGGATTTTGGTTTCCAAAGCAGTTGTTGGCCAGAGCTATAGCAACATGCTTTGCATTTACTGCCTCAGAAGCACAAAGAAAATATGGTGTAAGTAATATTTTGTTCTTAAAAATCATTACACACAATTAATATATCTTTTCTTATATGTGGTTATTTGTAGATTTACAAGAGGTACTGATCTGATAATATATATGCATTGATCATTTTTTTAAAGGTAATTATGTTAGCTGCTATTACCACTTTTATCTATAACAAGTTTTTTGGTTCTATTCTGTTATTGAGACTGGGTTCAGCAATGTATGTATGTATGCATGTATATATGGATTATGTGTTAATGTATGCACGTATATGTGTATATATCAGGGCTGTGGAGTCTGTAGGGAAAATGACCAGCTCCGACTCTGACTCCTGGAATTTTAAAGACTTCGACTCCCTGATATGTATGTGAACATAACACATGAGTTACAGCTTATTTTTTTTAATTGATGCTACAGAAAAAAAAAATGATGGCATAACAAATAATTTATGGTAATTAGCATTTATTATGAAATGGAAAATCTGGCATTAGTAATTTCAAAGGAACAGTATAGCTTTGGCAAGATCGTCTTTGTTAGAGGACCATAGATCCGATTTGATAAACTTCAGAGCTGAGAAGAGGCTTTTCACACTGACTTGAGTAAGAGGAAGAGCTGTCACTGTTAGGGCTACTTCTTTTAACTTTTCAGGATAGATTTTTGTAAGTTCTAAAGGAGTTGTCTTGCAAGTGCAATAATATTTCTATATTTCTTCAAAGACCGTGTAGTAAACTTGTTTGTAATTTTAAATTTTTATAATATAAAGGCTCTTGGGTCCTCATTTTCATCTGCTTTGCCTTTTCAATATTATTCAAATATTTCTCAAAATCTTATTCATCACTGGAAGAGGATGGTAGAGGGTCAGTTGCAATGTCAGCAGTTTGACTGTCCTGATTTGAATACTCCAAATGTTCTGAGAATAATTTCATTCTTAATAAATTCACAGATGGCTTTCTTTGCCTTTTTAATTTGTTTAGTTAACTAGTTTCTCATTCAGAAAGAAACATCACATTCTTCCATTTTCACCTCCCGTTAATTCTTCAGATTGTAACTTTTTTGTGGCTATATATGGTGTAGAAAGAAGATTTTGCAATTCTGCAATATCTTTCTACAGTCTTTCTATTAGTGAAACAATAGGGTTATCTACATCTTCTAAAAAAGTTCTTAATTCTAACAACCTCTATATCATCTTCTGAATTAGTATTTGTTCGGTGTGTTATTGTGTCTTAATTATGTACACTGCTAAAAAAAAAAAAATGGGACAGTCCTATATCTCCCGATCTACTGGGCCGATTGACAAAATTCAAATTGCATTCTTCATGTCTCGAAAGCGCGACTTAGGATATATATTAGAGTTATATATAGCACTATTCTAACATAGGTATTTTGACACAAAATCGGACCTTTTCTGAAATAACATACCAATTTTTTTACATATTTCGATTCTACGACCCAAATTACGCCTAAATATGAAATTTTGTAAAATTTGGAGCGAAATTTACGGAGAAATTCACAAATTTATGTTGGCACTTTTTTGTCAGTTTGCGCCAAGAATACTTACTTGGCGCGAACTTCTTAATATATGGCAACCTAGTTTCCTTTCCCTGTGAGAGGAAAAAAAGTCACCATCGTTCCTTTTTTCCCAAATAATATTCTTATATTATATTTTTAATTATAACTTATTATTTTAAGTAATTTTTTCTTTTTCGAATTTCATTTTAATTGTTTAAGTTGCACTTTTTTTTTTTTTTTTTTCTTTCGAATAACTGTTTTAAAAATTTCTATTTACCTATTGGAACTGCGTAAATAAAGTTGCAGCGTTTATTTTTTTTTTTTTTCAAATAGTTTTTCTTTATATATATTTTTCGTCATAGTTATTATTTTAGGTCATTTTAAAATTTTTATACTTTTATTTTAATTGTTTGTGTTGCATTGTCTCTTCAGATAATTGTTTTAAAATTTTCTATTTATTCCTTCGAACTGAGCATTTTAAATACATTTTAATATCAATTTTCCAGAATTTGATTTATTATTTGAACTGTGTGTTTCTTCTGAAAGAATACTTCGTAACCCAGACACGATGTGTTTGAAAACTGCATACTATATTAAAAGCGAAAATACAGTAAAGCACAGTTTTACACGCCTTTCAATGTTTCCGTTCAGAAAAAATATATATAAATAAGAGAGATGTATAACCGATATTTTAAACTTAGGATGACTTGCAACACTGCTTAAACAGTTTTATCATTGTGCCCATTGCTTTACACAATTTTTAAATAATATAATTAAAATGATTCAAATTTGGTTTCTTAAAATGTTATTCATATTTTAGTCAAACATTTTTATTTTTGAAATCGCAAGAATAAAATATCATAAGATTGAAAAGTTTTAAATTAAAAAAAATTACGAATACTAAATTTTACGAAAAAATTATTTTTCTTTCTTTTTCTTTAAGCATTCTGAAAGTATATTGAAAAGTTTCCAACTTTTCGAAACATTTTGGTATTTCTGACACTCATTTTAAATAAAGTTATCGCCTTCCATTTCATAAAGGCCCACAAACGGCCGAGCGGTAAAGTCGCTGAACACTGGTAGTTCACTCCGGGGTTCTAACCCCGGTTAACGGGCTGGTTGCATGAGCGTTTTCATGGATTTTCTCATGTGTACCGCGTATGACAGCTGGTTTCCCTTAGAAAGTTCTTCACGAAGTATTTCGTCAGAGCCTTTATCAGTCTTTAGAGGCTAAACATTTTGAAGGTATGAGATGAAAGGAAAGACTGGTTTCATCAAAAGGTTTTGGTTATTTTATTATGACAAAGCACACTACTACGGCTATCTGCCTAAGGGAGGGATGCCTTCCTGGAGGACTTTCTAAGGGAAACTGGCTCGCATACACGTTACACATGGGGGAAAACCACGAAACGCCCATGCAGCCAGCCCGTTCGCGGGATTCGAACCTCGAACCGAACTACCAGTGTTCAGCGACTTTACCGCTCGGCCGCGTTTTCATCAGGAAGGGAAAAAAAACATCTTTAAGTAACATCCACATACATCACTGGATAAACTCCTGAATCTTCAAATAATTCGACTGAGGAAATCATGGGATTCACCATTTATGATACGATATGATGTTCTATAACGTAATTTACACAACCATATAGTTTAAAACCAGTCGCTCTTCACTTTAATCTGTTAAATTTAATTATTAATCTGTTAAACTTAAATTTAATTTTGTCTTTTCTGTTAGCACAAGCTCAATTGATGGTATTTGCTGGTGTACACGTTCAAGTGTTTTCTCTTTGAACACCTAAATTCTTTGAAGTATCCTGAAAGTATATTCGAAAGCGTCCAACTTTTTGAACATCTTGGTACGTCTGACAGCCAAATTTCCCTGCAAATTTTTGCTTCTTTTCTCCCTAATTTTCTTCTTTCCTTCTACAGTTATTTTCAGTGCTCACACAAGAAATTAAGATTTTTCGACTGCTAGACTTCCATACATTTGCATTCTTGTCAATTTTTTAAAATATCAATTACATGAATTGCGTTTCAGCTAAAGACAGCTTTTCATTTCTAGTCATTTTAGCTATAAATAAAGTTTAAAGCAAAGTCCAAGGATAAATATTTTAATTAAAAGATTTTTGCTAAATGACAAAGAAAATAAAACAGTCTCCAGCAGGGTTTATTCTGTACCACAGAGTAACCCGATTCTTATATCGGCTGAAACAATCTAAATCATATTAAAGATCATGTTTTTTTATACAATCTATAACACGAGAGAGAAAAATTAGCTTCTTAAAAACATGCTTTCTAAGAGAATTAATATAAAAATTTATTTTATATATATTATTTTTAAAGTTGGGACTTGAACCAAACTATCAGACTTTTAAAGCTTATTTTACATGGTGGTTATTATTAAAGTTCCACTTTGAAATGGTCATAAAGGAAAACTACCGGACCAAATGTTATCAAACTTGGGAATCGTGTAAAGGAGGTTATGGGAATTTATTTTCGGGCGGAAAAAAAAAAGAGTTCAAAAACTCACCATCAGGGGGGAAAAATGGCGCTGTATACAATATGTTAAATGAAATAAGACACGAAAACATCTGTTTAAAATGTGTTTAATATTTTCCGAAACATGTTACAAAGCATGTTCAATGTAGGGTCCTAGCATTTTCCGAAAGCAAGTTAAATCATGTTACTTGCATTCTCAATAGCAGCTCTTAGCATATCAAGTTTGGTTTGGTTTGGTTTATTAGATTACGGCAAAGCACTCGAGGGCTATCTGCCTTAAGGAGGGATGCCTTCGTGGAGGACTTTTAAGGGAAACTGGCTCGTATACACGTACACATAGCATATCAGGAGGAATGTTATCAGTGTATCACATTTTTCATTTCTGCCAAATGTTTAGATTATCACCATAAACAGTGCTTTTGAGATAACCTCATAGACAAAAGTCACAGAGGTTGAGGTCTGGTGGGAAAGAGGGGAAGGTTTGGCTTATAAGACGTTCATTCGTGAAAATGTTGCCTAAAGTAACTATGCGACACTCTTGAGGTGGGCCCAGCCTGCATAAAAATTGTAGTATCTAAATGCCACGTTACTGCAGTTCATGTATCACGAAACATTTTAATATTGGCTCTAAGTGAGTTGCAATCGCAGTGGTCCAGCTGTCGACTGCTCTTCAGAAAAAAATGGTTCAGTTATAAAACTAGCTGTCATTCAACAGTAAACGGTGTGAAATGACTGGTATGCAATCGAATGCAGTAGGAAAATGCAATGGAACTAGATAGATAACATGAAAGATTTCTTTGGCCTAAATTGATTAAAAGCGTTTTGAATCAGTATCTTCATGTTTTAGTGCCGAATTCAGGCTTAAAAAATTACAAATTAGCGATCTGTAAGAAAACGATTTCCAGATTCTATGCACTTATGAGAGTGATTTGCGATCTCACATTTTCTAATCGCTTAATTCGTGGTTTCACGGGACGAAATTCTCACTTATAGGGATGGCGC